TCTAAAGCCACCAAAAGAATCAACTTTGTGATTTACTGCTACAATTAATAATTGTCTCAGTAAATGCCCAAACCCTACAGAACTGGTGCCTTCAGAGAGCCACTATGATTACATATTTGGCGTCCCTGAACCGGTTTTCTCTACAGTGCAGTAGTGCTTTCCAGCCTTTATACACTTATGGGATAATGTAACAGGGAAAAGACACCCTGTCTCAAAAAGCAAAAGACAAATGACCCAACAAAGAAAATTGCAAGAATCATGCTGCAGAATGAGAAAGACTGAAGTTATTTTGAAGACAGACGACTTCCGCTGGGGGTGAAAGAACAAATAACAGCGTAGGAATCTTATCTGCCTCCTCCTCACCTCGTCTGAAAGATTGTCAACTCTGTATAGAGAGGGATGGATCATGAGCATGAGGTACGCCAGGGGTTGGTACTTCAGCTGGCACATGGCAAACACACGGTCGTCCAGGCGGGTGCTGGTCCCAGTCCGGAAGGCTTTCTGGAAATAAAGATGTACTTCAGCAATTCAGTGACAACAACCCGGAAATAAACAATATGCTTCTTTTGGAAAAGGCTTTATATAGCCAGTAAATCCATCCATTTCTAACTGCTCCTTCCAGTTCAGGGTCATGGGGGACCAGGATCCACTCCAAGGCAGGGCACACACACATTTAGACTGGGGCCAGTTTTCCCAGAAGCCGATTAACTCCAAACAGACAGCACCCCAAGTCCGGAATCGTACCCAGGACCACAGTGCTGTGATGTAGCACAGTTAACCTCTGTGCCACCACGCTGCCTGTAAGTGCAAGACAATACAGGGCTAATTCCACTTTAAATGTGGAAAGGGTGTGCTGATAGTACATAGCTAGGAACCAACTACCTCAATCTACCAGTAACACATCATACAATTTGATCTACACACTCTGCATTCCAGTCCAGTGTACGAGAGAGCGCTGATGTTCACATGGCAGATCCCAGTGCAGAAGGCACAGTCCACCTGCGACACTGTTTTTATTCAACATCTCCTGAAGTGAGCTCATTGAAAGACTCACATTTGTTTTATTTGTTTAGAGGCTGCTGCTAATGCCTCACATGCAATCACGGGGAGAACATACAAACTCCACACAGATGAGACCAGCACCACAGGTCTGGAATTGAACCCATGGCCCCAGCACTGTGAGTCAGCAATGCTAACCACTGTGTCAACATGCCACCCATAGCCAGCACAATGCCTTCATAAAACCTTCTTACAGGCTAAATAATATGCTATAGCTTAACAACTGTTCTTCCTAATGACATAACAAGTACAAAATAATAATAATTGCTTACACTTATATAGCGCTTTTCTCGACACTCTGCTCAAAGAGCTTTACAGGTGATGGGGACTCCCCTCCACCACTACCAATGTGCAGCATCCACCAAGATGATGCAGCGGCAGCCATAGTGGGCCAGAACGCTCACCACACATCAGCTATCAGTGGGGAGGAGAGCAGAGTAATGAAGCCAATTCATAGATGGGGATTATTAGAAGGCCATGATTGGTAAGGGCCAATGGGAAATTTGGCCAGGACGCCGGGGTTACACCCCTACTCTTTTCGAGAAACGCCCTGGGATTTTTAATGACGCAGAGAGTTAGGACCTCGGTTTTACGTCTCATCTGAAGGACGGCACCGCCTGTTTACAGTATAGTGTCCCCATCACTATACTGGGGCATTAGGACCCACATGGACCGCAGGGTGAGCGCTGCCTGCTGGCCCCACTAACACCTCACTAGCCCCACTAACACCTCTTCCAGCAGCAACCTTAGTCTTTCCCAGGAAAGGAGGTCTCCCATCCAGGTATGACCAGGCTCACACCTGCTTAGCTTCAGTGGGTTACCAGTTATGAGTTGCAGGGTGATATGGCGGCTTGCAAAAGGTTTTACACAACAGCCACTCCTGATCAAAACCACACCTGCAGCTTTAACCCCACGTTGTTCTAAACAAATGTTATGCAAATGTTCTTGTTCACCTCAGGTTGAACACCTGATGTTTGGATGCGTCTTTAGGAACAATGATCACGAATATTAGGAATGTTCTCATTCAAGACTCTCAACTTATATATCCTCTAAATAGATATTATGAAGTGTGCATAAAGAAATAGGATCCACAGCCAGCCCAGAAAAGTTTTGAACAGGAGCAGGAAAAACAAAGTTTTCATTTCCTCGGCACCATTGATACTGGAGTGAAAACCAGTGTTTCTACAAGACGGTAGGAAATTTACAGTGTGGAAAGAGCTAGCAGGCCTGGCTTCATGGGCCTTACCTGTTTGAGCAGGGCCAGGATGTAGAGTGGGAAGAGCCGCAGGCAAACAGGGGCCAGGAGGCCAGGTTGCTGGACGCTGAGCACAGAGGAGCGGTACGCAGCAAGGGAGTCGATGGCAGCGTTGACCAGGGCATCCCGGGCGTCACTCAGGCTGGCTGCCACCGAGCGGTCCACAGCTGGCACGAGGGGCAAGTCATCGGGTTAACACAACAGCACGCCAAGGAAGGAGGGCACACCGATTTCTACTGCACAATCATTGATGCCTTAATGCTCATCACACCCTCTGCCAGACTTTCCAAGGGGACAGGACACCCATTTGTTCATTTGCAGGGTTGAGGAGAATACAGAACTTGTATAAAGGATCACAATTACATTGCCTGGTTTTTAACATACAAGCAGAAACAGATCATGGCAGGATCACAAATGGCATCTGACATTAGTATGTAAAAACAGAGGAGGCTCCCAGCTCCTTCTTGTCGATGTAGCATATCAGCCACGCCACCTCCTGAAGGCAAATGCAAAAGGTGGCTAAGGTTTATTCAAAATACGCAAATTATTGTGTACCTATTTCTTGAAATTCCAGTTTTCCCATTTTCTTAAAGCATGTTAACTGTTAAGAAAAATAAGAAAGGTTTCAAAGCAACTGTGTTGTGCTAGGCACAGAATCCCATTCCACTTCCCCAGCACTGCAGTTCTCACCCATGCTAGCCAGCAGTCCTGTAATGGCTTGCACATCTGCTCCAGCAAAGATGTCAGCCAGAGAGTTCACAACAGGCAGGCACATCGTGTGTACTCGGATCCGTCGCTCCCCTGTGGAACACAGACAAATTAGGATCCTTTCACGGATAGGTGTTTAAAACTTCCAACAATAAAAAAAAAATCCTGAAGATAATTAAAAGGGAACTGTAGTCCCAATTTCTCAGACCAACTGTTATGTCTTGGTCACAAAATTAATTGATGGTATAGCAAAGTTTTACAACTTCCAACTGAAGCACAAAATTGTGAAATTATTGAAAGTACTGTATGGTCTCCATTTTCTCACACAGCCCTGGTCTCACCATGAGTGAGAGCGAGAACTTGCATGAATTGTGACATGAGGCAGCTTACTAGTCACTAATGTGGCTAATGTAATGTACAAGAAAACAAGTACAGGTTGGACACAGAAATAGTCCAATGTGATCTGCAAGCTGAGCTAGCAAGTTGTATTTTTTGGCAAAAACATCTTGAAGTCAAAAGCAATATTGGTTTAAAAGAGATGCCTTCACAAGCCTGCTTGTTTACAATGTAATTGGGTCACTACATGTCACCAGAAGTTTTGTTGCCTTGTTACAAAATTCTAATTGTAGAATATCGCGCTGTGCCAACCTGGAAATGTAGTCTATTTTGTCTATTTTACAAGGTATTACGGGTTACTGTGTACATTTGACTTTCATTGTGGTTTGAAATGAAGTCAATGTTGAGTCTCTTTAACCCCAAAATATAAAAATAGTGATGCAGTTCTCCTATAACTGGCGTAATTATTCTCCACAGTGCTTTCATAATCCTGAAACAATGCCACAAAAAAGCTGATTCTTTATACAGCTCTTTATAGACATGGCACTGTGACTCTTATTACCTTTGCTTGATGTGTATAGAAGAGCAGCTTGGAAAGAGACCACTTGCATATCCACTAGATTCTCCTCAATGGACATCTGTACAGCAAACCCTGCATCTGGGTTGACATTGGGCAGGGACAACAGGTCTGTGGATCGGACGAAGAAGTTCCCATGGAAGGTATGTATGGAAAGGCCTAAGAAGGAGGGAAAAAGATGAATCAAAGTTAACCACTTATGGAAAGCTAAGAGCATTACCATTCTCTTTACTTTTTTTTACAGCTATAGAAACCAGTAAGGATGGATTTCTAATGAACCCACTTTATCTGAAGCAGAAATATCTAAAAAGTGAAAAGAGTGCAAAATGATGGTACACTGGCAGCAGTTGAACAGGAATATGTGAGGGTGCCAAATTAAGCTGTACTAATGCCCTCTAAACAAACAACGGTAGCGTAGTATTTGCAATTCCAAAGAAAAAGAGGCAAAGAGGTCAACGACAGAACGGGGAGGAATAACACATGAAAACTGACAGCAGGTGTGTTGTGTACCAGGTGTTCACAGGTCAAAAGATCCAACCTCTAATTGTGTGAAATTTCCTTCACAAAATCCTTCTGAGCACACACCTTTGGTACAGCGTATCCTCATGACTGCCTCAAAGCCAATCTTCCTTATGACATATCTTTTCAGGTCCTTCTGGAAGCGTTCCACCTGAGCAGGGTTGTGCTGGTGGTGGTACGAAGGGTAATAGTAGACACTGCCAGCAGAATACCTAGATATGCAAGCTAAGAGAGAAGCAAAAATGATACAGAACTGCTTTCACAATGTTAAGCTGATTTTCTGTTCTAAATTTTGCTTTGGGAAAACCTTCATGTTGAAATACAACAAAACAGAATGGTTCTTGCATTTCCTCCTGAACTGAAAAGAAAGAAGCTGGATGGGTTTTAGAAATTGCCAGCCAGAGGGAACAAGTACAAGGACAAGTTGACACAGCTTTGGGGAAAAGGCGGCGCAGTTTACAAATAAACCCTAAACCTAATAGTAACAACTATTCAAAACAGTTTAATTTGAAATACACGTTTACACAAAATATAATGGTCAATATTCAACAAAACATTATACTGAAGGCACAAATGAAGGCTACAGAAGTGGATCAGCAAAAATGATACATGGCTTTTAAACAATAGAGGAAAACTCACCTAAGGATGCTAAATCACAGTACTGTCCGCTCAGTAAGAAAAGATCAACAGCAATCTGCTGCCCTGAACAGTCGAGAGCCAACTTTTTGTAGAAATCAGTTGCAGGGGAGAGGTGCTGAATATCCTGGAAACAACAAGAAGTACAATGGAGTTAACTATCCCGCTGCATACAATTTCAGGAAGCAAAGCCTCACAGAAAAATCTTCAGAAAAAAACCTAAACAATTCTGATATTTGCCAAGATATATGATTACAAATATTAAAAAAACTCTACTAATTCCACAGAGTACATAGAGAAGCTTATTATTACAACATCTAGAAGAATATACACTTGATTTCTCAGTGATACAGCATCATCTCTATAAATCCAGATTTTAAGGAAGATGAAGATATGTGGAGCTGCAGTATGCTGGTGGACAGCCCATCCGGAGGTTCGGTCTCACCTTTGCAGATGCCCGCTGATTAGGGTCTTCTCTGGACTTCAGTGCTCCCACCCCCAGAGAGGGCAGCTGAGTTTGGAAGACAGAGGCTCGACCCCCGGTGGGCGAGAGCAGTTTATAGGCTGCCTGCAGGGCTGGACCCAAGGCTGACTGAGTCTCCATGGTCTTGGTGAACATCTGAGGCAAAGCCTTCAGCAAATCGTGTACCAGCTATCCAGAAAACAGAGACCACATTTCAGTAAGCTCCCTGCACAGGGACCTGGTATGATCCAGGTTGGACTAGTAGGCACATAAATAAAAATGACACTGAAATACAGCTTACACACAGAACAAAAACCTCTTCCTTACACAGGGGGCACAATTCGTGTAGAGAACATGAACACAATGTAGATCAGTCATTCTTTTCGTATCTCCGACATTTACAAGCTATGATTTGAATGCATATTCTCATTCTGAGAGTAGAGTTATACCAATAGGCAGCATAATAATACTCCAGGGCTTAACACTTGCTTTCACATACATAAAAAGACGTACAAATAGTTTCTTACCTCTTTGCATTCACTGAGATTTACTAAAAGACTGTCTGGAGTTGGTATAAAAATATCTGAAAGGGAAAAGAAAATAAGATAATGCTATAGACTGCTCCTGTTTTGTGGCAATAATATTTAAATTCTAAATATTTTTTCAATGTCAAAATTTTTAAAAAACATAAAAATACTAAGACACCAGGGTCAATTAGAAATTTAAATGTCGTTTTTTCCCCAGTCCTCTACATAATCGGTGGGCCTCTTCTGCTCACCTTCAATATCTGAGACAATCAGCATCTGAGGCTGAGACAGACCCTCCTGGAGATTGTAGAAATGGATTGTGCTGTCAAATGTAATAAAGCCTATCTTTGTTCTGGTGTCCCCTGGAAGCCTGGAAAATAAGACATTGTCAAAAACATCAGAAACTATCTGGTATGTGATGCTTTCTAATATTTACAGGAGCATACGCAGGATATTAAAAGATAATAAAGATAATATACAGACTACTGTATAGTTATCTCATGATGCAGGTCCAGTCTCCAGCTATGTGCCCCTATTACTGGGACACAATACAACAACCTGTTTTGTGGTCAATTTGACCAAAATGTTTCTTATATCCAGCTGACTGAAGTAGTGATCTGTCTGCACAAATTCTACCATTGGGCCAATCAAAACCAATTTCTCCTTTCATTATTTGCTTTGCCTGGTATGTTATGCTTTCCCTTCAGGTTTTTCTTCCCGAAATTAAAATGGCACTCATGAAAAAGGCACAGGAGTTTACAAACTTACGTGCTGAGATTGTCTAAAAGTGACTGACAGACAACGTTTAAGTAGCCAGTCTCTATGGCATTGTGGGATACATCCAGCACAAAAAGGTACACAGCAGGCTGGGGAGGTCTCAGCTGCAACAACAATGTTGTTAAGTTAATGGAAATTATAGCAATACTTGTCTGAATTAAGTGAAAAGATTTAACAGAAATAATCTAAAATCCATTTAGTTCCTTACTCTATAAAATTATAATTAACATTAGCTTTTGGTTATACACATCAAATGTTCAAACATCCTCATTGCAAAATATATCATAATAGACCCAATCTGCCACAGCATGCATGTAGTGAAACTGCACAGAATATAACCCAGCTGGGCGCCAGACACCAGTTCTAGATTTATGGGGACCCCTCCAAAACATGTAAAGTATATTGAGAGTGTGGATGGAAAGTATCATATGAATAATTATAATACTGAAGTGGCAAAGCCATAACATTATATCATATAAAGTCGTTCTAGTGCACGTGACACTATTATGTCAAAAAGGCACTCAAGTTAAACACATCAACGCTTAAGCATCATGCTAAATAAACAGTATCACCACTCATCAATGGAAAAATAACTCAAATAGAGCTCACCATATATTCTGAAGGAGCAATAAACTCAATTGTGGCATTCTGGACTTCGGGTCTTTTATGTGGTTCTCCATACGATCTGCTAACCGGGTTGTACATGAACTCTTCAGGAACTGCAGAAAAATACAAGCAGGACCATCATCACACAGAAATGCAATCAGGAAATCAGGCTGTACCTGTGATTCCTGTGACCTGTCACGATGATCCCTACAATATGTCACCAATTTTATATTGCTTCATGTGAAGCACAGAAACACCTTCATGTTTTTCCAGGAAATTCCAAAGTCATTGTCATAACTACTGTGTTCTATTCACTTGATCATAATAACCTGTGTTACACATGCTTTGTTACATATTCTCTACCCTGTATTGCAAACCAGTTCTTTTTTCAACATATAGTTAAAAACTCAACCATGTATTTATTACTTATGGCGGATATGGATTCATACTGCAGAGAAATAGGAACACAAATTGTAACAGAAACACTATAAGCACTGGATAACGTCCTGATGAAAAAATATATTGTACAGTAATCTTCATAGGATGGCACAGAGCAACGGATAACAAAAACACATTTTCCAACAACTGTTCTGACAAAGCAGGTATCTAAAATATTTGGCAGTGACCTGTAGATGGAAAGTGCTGTATGAATGTATATAGTAAGTAAATGCCAAAAGCCAGAACAATATAATCCAAACTCAATCTGAACTGTTTATTGACAGGGAAAAAAACACAACATATCAAAAAACATCTTGGTTCACTATCACTACATGCAGCTTTGCAGTTTTCTATATCACAACAGTGCAACTTATTACCATCGTTGACTCTGTAGCAGAGGTTACACTTCCATCTCCTCTGGTCCAGGAAAGACACGAAGGGGTTAATATAGGTCCTGCAGGAGCGACACCTCACGATGGTACTAGAGGTGACCACTGGCAGTTGCTGCAATGAGAAACTGTTCTGTTAAAATCAGGCAGAGCACAAAAGCGGGGAACTAGCAAGCATCACACACTTAATCACCTGGACCAAGTGCATGAATCTTTTTAACACTAAAACTAGATTTAATCTTTTCATTTTCTAAAGTGGTAATAATTTTTGTAGGCAGTATAATAACCTGGCAATCAGTGCTGCCAGCTTGCAGCTCTTTGGCATCGGACTCTACTCCAGTTTGCAGATCCTTGTGTGTGGAGGTTGCATGGTCATTCCGTGTGTACTGAAATGGTGCCCCAAGAGGACAAGTCAGCCATGTCAACAGGCTGGCCTAAACTGTCCTTGAGTGTATCCTGCGGTGGACTAGCATCTTGTTTTTCAGACTATACTTCCAGGATACACTCCAGGTATGCTGTAACCCTTGCCAGGAACAAGTGCCTTTCAGATCATTTATAAATCAATGGCAAAATGTTTCCTGATTATTTTCCAAAATAAACATTTGACATGTAATTTGCAATTGCACACAAATAATAAAATGTTCTGTACACTGCCTGTAACATTTGCATTGCCTTTAAAACCTTTACATTGTCATGAGCCTGATTTAAGACATTTTTTTTAAAAACATTAGATTTTAAAGATCAACATCCAGTTTGTCTGATGTTGCCCTTCTTTGCTTTGTGAAAGTTTAAGACTCGATTACATGGATACAATCCAAATAATTACTAGGCCAGTCAGCCGGTTGTTGTAAATTCAGTTGACACATTCACAGAGGCCTGCTTCACACTGTAGACACCTGAGATCATTCCAATATGCATCTCAACAGAGAGGTTACATTAAACCACATGTTGATAAATAAATAAAGCAGTAATGACAAGAGGTTTCCTGGAGGTCAAAAACATTCACTCGTGGTTCTTCTTAGCTTAAAAAAAACATTGGACAAGAGAAGAAAAGGCCTTACCGAGAGGTCTTTGAAAGGATGCAGAAGTAATCCCAGTGGAAGTTTAGCTTTGTTCAGCAAAGACTGCGTCTGAGGAATATTGGTCAGTGTGCTACGAAAAACCCTGTTCACAAAGGAGGAGGAACAGTTATTCATTTGAATGATTGGTCTTCTGTAACACTTCTACAATATCTATACACATTTTCCTGAAATGCTGTCATTCTTATTGCAAATATGTGAACAGCGTAATAAGCAACAAAAAGTGTAGATGTGATAATAGTGCCACAGTTACTTTTGAAAGAAGCAATCTAACAGCATTTTAAAATATTTCTTAAAAGGAAAAAAAAATAAATGTGTTGATGCTTTGGTACATGATCTTTTGAGTTTCCTTAAACTCTACCTTTTAAATTAATTTGCAGTATTTTCTTGTAAAGGAAGAAAGCAGCGGCAGGGGAAAAAAAAATGACTTACAACAGATTCCAAAGGCTGAGAAGCTACAAGTCTCTGATGCTTTATTTTTATTCCGCAAAACAGAGGTTGAAATTGCACATTTTACTCGGGGGCACAATCCGTGAAACTCCTTTGACTTTTGCATGCCATGTGTTGCTATGGAATAGTCAAAACACATCTCTCAGCTGAGCAGCGCGGGCACTCACTCCGGGTGGCAGTTGAGTTTCTGCAGGTCCTGGGGCAGGCAGGGCACTGGTGCACTGACGGGGCGTGGGGGGAGAAGGTTGCGTTCCTGCAGCAGGTTGATGGCTCTCAGGGCTTCAGGAGGCTGGGCCTGTTGCAAACTCATCCCCCCCATCGCAGATGTCAGCTGGGCAGGGCTGACAGGGGGCTGAACAGAAAAAGAAAAAAAAATGTCCATCCATCAGAAGAACTTCTTTCTTGCTCTGCTTACTCCGATGTACGTTTCACGCAATCTTTAAGCTTATTTGAGGCTATTAACCTGCTAGTTTAAAGGGGAACATTAGTGCCAATTTCTCAGACTGGTTATTACATTTAGATAAAATAAATTCATTGACATTATAGAAAAAAAAATGTACAAATGTGATTTTAAGCAAAAAATAATGAATTTTGTAAAAGTACTGTAAGTCTCCCTGTCGTCATAAATTTGAATTCATTCCCACAAATTGCGACATGATTCAGCCCTTCCTCCTCACTAGTCTCTGTAATGACTAACATGTACGAGCGTCTAAAAACAGGTTGTGCAGCAGACATTTTTCCGCAGTTATCTGTATACAGAGTTAATAAGTAATTAGTATTTGTTGGCAAAACCATCTTGAGGTTGTGAGCAGTATTTGTATTGGATTAAAAGAGACGTATTCATAAGCCTGCTTGTTTACAATGTCATGGGGCCATTTTCTTCACCGGATCATTCATTGCCTCATTCTGAACTGCAGAACACAGCACTGCACATTGTCAAATTTTGTCAAACTTGTGATGTAAATTGGTTTTACAAGTTACTGTGTTACTTTTACTGCAGTTTGAAATGTGCTCATCAATGCTGTTTCTTTTTAACCCCAAAATAGGAAAACAGCACTGCAGTTCCCCTTTAATGAAAACTTTCTACTATCGAAAGACCAATTTGCTTTAAAAAGTCTGAAAACATTGCAAAAACCAACACTGTTGTTTCCATTAACCTGCATTCTGAAGGAACATTCTGATACAGCTCTGGCTTATTTGACAAAGTGAAACTATTTTGCCACTGAGTCACATACTGTACCTGCTGAAACTGCTGGGGCCCTGATGGATAAGGCTGTTGTTTTGGAGGTTGCATTCCTGAAGTGTTAGCGGGGGCCCCCATATTTTGGTAGCCAGGAGGTAATGAGGGATACGAGTGGCCCATGGCCCTGCCCATTGCCGCAGGCTGGGGTGGATGTGGTGCTCCTGGAATCAAAGACAAGTGTTTAAATTAGCTTGCTGCTCCCAAAAACAAATGATTCATTCTAATTATGTTACAGATTTAAGCCCCAAATCGGTCAATCACATATAGAATGTTGCAGCACAAAGTCTTACCCATGTTCCTGCCCCCACACTCCAGAGTATCAAAACTGTTGGGGACCTGCGAACCATCACCAGGGGTGGGTGGATGTGCGGCTCCTGGTAGAGGGGACACATTGAAGGTGTGATCAGAATTTACCACAGCAGCATGACAAAAATGTGGAACATTCAGACTTCTTAGTACATTTCAACTCTTACTTTGTCATACTGGGGAAGGAAAAACAATCTGAGGACAAGAGTGACGTAAAAAGAAATTTGCTTTAATAAATGCAATCCATAAAAAAAGATCCCAGGTGGAAGATGGATTTATGGAATCGATGGGCCCACAGGTATGAGTAGTTGTGTATGGCCTCATTTGCCATTTCATGTGACAGAAAACCTAGTTATTAGGCAAGCCCAGGGGTACTTCTTCCTGGCACCAGTGAGCCACTGTACTGCTTGCTTTAAAGATATTTTTGTAGACCATTTAAATCAATTAACTGAATGAAGGTGGTGTCCTGTGGTGACATGACAACCAGCAGAACCTGTGGCTCTCCAGGAACAGGAAGGGTAACCCCACAATCGGTGATCACAAACTGCAGGGCAGTTCTGAAATGAGATCGCTGTCATGACGTGGAGCACAGACACAAGCACGACACTGGACAGCAATCACGACATTCAGGGATGACCGTCACACCTGGGCACTCAATATCACACTCTTCATCATCGTCCTCTGAAGGGGATGACGCCAAAGATGAAGGAGCCAAGCTATTACCAATATTCCCACAATGAATGTCTGGCATGAAGAAAAAGCAGAAAAATCCAAGGGAAACGAAGGGAAAGAGAGAAAAGCAATCTCGATTTAATGAAGATGACTCTTCAGAAAATAAATTGTGCACTGTATATTACTGACTCCTAATACACAATTATAAGACACAAAACAGTTGATCAGGCAAATTAAAAATATAAATATTTTTCAAATCAAGTATTGTGTCATTTGTTTAGCTTTTGCACTGTACATTTTTCTGCCAGATCAATAAAAAATCTTCAAGAAAAAAAGTATTTTGTAGACTGCAGAAGGCATTGTCATTAGTTTTGATTTTGACAGAAATCCACTGCTGGCAGAAGACAATAATTGTAATCAACCAGCTTAGACAGAAAACTAATTTATTTGGTTCACTGCTCAAAGAGGTCTGTTTTCTGCAATGCTGTACAGTATACCCACCACTTAAAACCTCCCATTCTCAGCACAAAACCAGTTTTTCTGCTCAAGCTTGTTAAGTAATCCACATAATTAGAGGATTGAGTGACTGGTTTAAAAAATACCAGATGCAAAAGAAGCAGCAAGCATAGAGGCATCAAACAGTAAAAATGGGAAAAAAAGTTATTTATGACAGTTCAAATATTAAACATCACTACACTATGCCCTATGTTATCACTAACTGTGGCTGAAAAGCTGATCAACACATTTGTGTTCTCTCGAATTGACTACTGTAATGCTCTACTCGCTGGGGTATCTAAATCTACTTTGAACAAACTGCAGTGTTTGTTCAGTGTTTGCAATGTCCAAAATTTAGCAACCAGGATCCTGACCAGGTCTATTACAAGTGATCACATTACTCCTATCCTGGAGTCCTTCCACTGGCTTCCTGTCAAATTTCATGTGGACTTTAAAATCCTCATGCCCACCTATAAGGCTCTGCATATAAAATAAAGTTTTTTATTATTATTATTATTAAAGAAAACAGAAATAAACTTATCTTTTCCCTTAATGCACATGCTTGTCAGCAAGCACTGCAGAAACAAATTCAAATTTGCAAATTCAAAATCTGAACAAAAGTTATACCTTCATGCTGTGGGGTGGGAGGCAGAGGTGGGGTTGCACTGCCCAGTGGGCCAGCAGGGGGCGGCGGTGGTGTGGGTCTCATTGCTGGGGGGGGTCCTGCAGCTGGTGGAGGCCCATAAGCTGTTCTACCAAGCTGGTACGTCTGAGATGAAGGGGGGCTCATGAGCGGAGAGACAGCACCTAACAGGTCACATTTCAAGCAATTAATCTCTTCTTTCCATTACAACACACTTGATTCTCTGAATACTGTAAAACACATATGCAAGTCAAAAAGAGTCCTACAGGAGTTCTTCAGGAACTTTTGGTCCTAAAAGCCTGCATTTAGACTCTGAATGGTCCAAAAATAAGCAACAACATCCCATGTGGATGTCTGTGATCCCCATCACTGAGCCGTCACTTACTGAATGAGTCAGACATATCAGTATTCTGGACTACAGCAGGGACAGCTTGCTGAGAGCAGCATGATGTGAAAGTATCATTGTGATTATTTTCAACTGTGCATGCAATGGTTGCATACAGAGCAGAACTTTAATTTGAGCAAAACAGCATATTAGATGTGTATACTGCCTTAAAGGTATAAGGACTGAGCCTAGGCTTCTGTGCTAAAAAGCACAGAGAATGATACCTGAAAAAGACCATCAAGTAGATTAGTATAGTAGGAGGTTTTATACTTTATCTACCAGAGAAACTGTAATGATGAATGTGATATTATAGTCTAAGTATTAGAAAAGCAAAACCCTGTGCAGTCTACCACATTAAATCTGATGACCCACTTCGATTACTGAAAATACACTCTGTCCACAAAACAGGCTCACAATATGATGACACAATACAATGTTAAACATCCTTCCCCTTTTAAATAACAAAGATCTCATTCCAGTTGTAGTGTAGCTCTGCGATGGCTAAAATTCAGAAGTGGCAAGATTAACCAAAAAGTAGATTTGCAACTTTTTATTGCATTCTAACCTGGCCCTTGACTTCATTCTCCAGTAAGCTTGTTACCTCATCTGAAAGCCTGCCAGAGAAGGAGACGTTCTGCCAAGCTGGTCTCTTTAGTATGAACACAGGGCAAAGTGCACTTCCAGCATCAGCCAGCTTAATCACACTGTAGATGTGGACTTAAAGGGCAATTTAACAAGTTCCTTTTTAGTAGAATATTGGCGTTACTGCAATGTCCACAAGGGAAGGAAAACAGATTACTAAAACCCTGTACATGCTTCATTTCTTCTGCTCTTTAAATGTACAAGTGGCTTCCACACAGGAGTGGCCTCTAAAATTAATTAAGCAAATGACATGCCAGATGCTTAAGTTTATACATGAAAATGCGGGAAAGGTGTAGTATCATATAATTTGGGTAGACATGGCTGCAAGATGAGTGTTTGGCAGATCTTCAACGGCCATAAGAGCTCAACTTGCTGAGGACACCCCAGAAGTGATGGGGTCTAAGGCGACATTAGCACCAAACTCTAAGTGAAAGACATGAGCAGCAAAGGTCAAATAGTGGGTGGAAGCTCAAACACATATCACTTGACCGCAAATTTCAAACTATGGCACGAGCAGCCAGGAATTCCATAGAGCGTTGCTCATCACACATGCAGGATATCCCGTAGTTGTATACAGACCAGCCAGGCTGCTTGGCCAAAAAAAAGGCGTGAGCACTGACAAAATGTACACAAGAATCCATATTGAAATACTGTTTCGTAATAAAACACAGCAAGATTATTGGCCAGCCAGCATCCGTAATGGTATGTAATCGTATAGCTCTCATGGTCTCATGGCTTGGTCTGAATATCTCACAGACTTGCATTAAGTCTAGGTTGATTAAGAAAATTAAGCAATGAATGTAAAATTTGGACATTGTTGTAGAGACTTGTGATTCTGTTAATTAACCAAGCTGTTACCACCCAGCAATGTGCTTTTGTACGCCCAGGGTGCAAGGAGCACAGGCAACAGAGAAGTGCAGAAATGTGATATGATCAGATGAATCATCCTTCACTATGAACTCGACACACGGATGAGTTCTTGTCTGGTGCTACCTAAAGAACTCTACATGGATCCAGCAGTGAAAGATTCTGGTACTTTCACAACAGTGTGGGACTGGTGTGGTCTTGGAGAACCCAATGTCTTGGAAAGCAAGGTAAACACTAATCGCTACTTAATGGTTAAATGGACCATTTATGGGATGTTGTAGAATGATGCCCAAGACAGTGTTTTCCACCTCTATCAACCAGACGTGAGCTGACTGACATTCTTAGTGGAAGAACAGTCCTGCATTCCTCCAACAGAACCCAAGAGGCTGGGAGACTCTATGCTATGACGCAAAAGGCTGCACTGGCCAGATGTGGTGGTCCAGCACCCTATTAACCAACTTATTTTATTTTTTATATATTTTATTAATAAATGTCTTGGAATTTTGTGGTTTTAGGCAGACTCGGTAAATGGTCAATTCAAACTAAATAACTCATGGATGTACATAAATGCTTTCAAAAGTGATATTTGGTTCACAATGGTTATATGATAAAATATGATAAAATATCTTTAAATAATTAAGACCAAATACTGGAACTGAGTATTTAAGAGGTCATACTTAGAAAATGTAAGGAATCTTCATCATCAATTTAAAAATTATAACTATTAATGCAAACAATTCCCATGATATTAGAAAAATTACACTTCAGTTCTTAAAAATAAATCCTACCATGGCTCTGTGTATAAAGGTGTTTGTTTCAGTGCCTGAAGATTGCTTTGAAATTCTCCTACTACTCAGAATTACTAAGACGTTCACGTTTTTTTCATGCAGGGTCAGATGTGACAAATGACAAATGAGGAAAACATCTATTTTTATCTGGACCATTCCTGGATCCAGGCGATTGCTTTTTTTTTTTAATTACTACTCTAATTTCCCATCGATTTGAAAAACAGATTTGTCATGTTGCAGAACAAAAGACAGGTCGTGGGAACAGGTCATGTACCTGGATGGACGAAGTTGTTGTGCGGGACGGCGGGCCCAGAGGGTGCAGCTTTCTGAAAGATGGGAGGGCTGGCCATGGTATATCCTGATGATGAAGGCTGGTTTGGTACTGAGCTGGTTACTGAGGTCACATGGTTGGTAACGGGGCCTGCTGCAGGCTGGCTCATGGGAGGAGGCATGCTATACTGCCAGGCTGACTGAGGGGGCTGCTGGGTGTCAGCATAAAAACTGTTAGCAGGTACAGTGCCAGGGGTAGAATTCTGGGAAAGAGGAGGTGGAGGCATTCTGGAACCTGAAGTTTGAGGGGTGTGTACCAGTGGCTGAGCTGGCCCCATAGGAGGCCTGCTGACCGCCACCTGACCAGGCGCCTGATACAAGCTCACTGGAGGTGGATTCTGGTAGGGGCTACAGTTATACTGTCCAGGAAGAGGAGCCAGAGGAGCCTTCCCTGGCATCAGGCTTGGGTATGGAGGCTGAGCTCCCATGTTATATCCTGGCCCAGGAGGCTGCATCACCACTGGGTTCTGTAAAGGACCTGTGAACAAGAATAGAACAAGGAATACATTAAAATCCATCTCACATGTGCATTTAAAGTCAACAATGTGTTAAAAACAAAAGATAAATACGCAGGCCTTTGCGTGGAACAACAAACCCATTTTTGAAAAGATAGATTATAAAGCAGGAAAAATAAGATTAAGGACTATGTGGGTTGAATTTAAATTAAAATTGACTTAATTGACTACTTTACTGTTGAATCAAGCTTCCCACCAGGATTCAAATTGGCAGAGCTGTAGTGTGAGGAACAACATAGAGGGAATAGAGATCTAATTACTTTAGCATAGCTAGAGTGAACAATTCAAATTCACAACAAGGTGACAGAGCAGTCAGACTAGGCTGCGGAATGAAACCCCATCACGTGGATTAATAATACAGACCACCATTCTCTCTGTGATGAAGCAACAAAACCTACACTCTTACTGAACAACCAAAGTGCAGTTAAAAAGCACTGAAAAAAAATTCTCAGAGAACAAGTGAAATTCTGCTTTATTTAAATCTACAAAAATAACTATTATAAAAGCCATTTTTGCTCTTTTAATTGGAATATCGAATCACAATGGTCAAAGCTACAACTATTGAAAATCATCTTTTTGAATGAGATCTTTGAATAGTCAAAGCCATGAATATCTGATATGTTTAAAACACATCTGCTGTTTAAACATCCAAATGTGGCAAAAGCAAAACAAATACTATAACATGCTGGTAGTGCAGTAAAATTGCAATGGATTTGAGGAAACTCTTGAGGATTTGCCGTCCTTGAGAAGAGAGGCAGATCGTTTAAACTGATTAGGCAGGTTTATCCAGTAAGAGGTGCATGTTTAAGCAGAGAACTAAGATGAGAAGATAACCTCTTTCAGAGCTAAAGATAAAATGTAATCCCTCTGCCTCTTGAAAAGAAGGAAAACCTTATGAATGAGGCTGCAAACTCACACACTGCAGCGATCAATGAGTCAGGCACCACCCTAACAAAACTCCTCTCAGGACAAGTTTCCCATGCTCAGCTGTTTCTGTGATATGTCCGATTCAGCAATAACATGGAACAAACAATTTATAACTGTATTGAGCTGTGTTTAGAACTTAATTATAATTAAACATTGTTAAAATACTGAAGGTATTAAAAGAGAACAGTCTGTTAATGGAAATTTCACTCTCTTATGAATTATTTTGAAGGTAGCATAAAACATATTTAGAACCAGGGTCTAAAACTCAGTTCCTAGAGGGCCTAAATTATGCTTTTATTCCTCCAGAGAACTCAATTACAGTTGCTCTAATTACTAAATTAGCTGCATAATTATATCTCTGATCAGACTCTGAGGTTTAATAGGCAGCTGTACCTTTAATGTAGTGAAACTGTCCTTAAGAAACATCCTATATATGTCTGAGATGGTGATGTTTGAGACACTGGTTTAGGAAACCAAGTAAAATTGAAAACTAAAAAAAAACACTGTTCCAAAAGGTTCAACAAATCAATTAGGAAAAATGTAAGGGAAGATAGAGCACTTCATGAAAGAATTAAAAAACAAAAGCATTTAAAACACATGAACAGAAGTCATGTCTCTACCCAAAGGGCTGTGGGAGTGTGGAACAACCTACCCAGCCATGCTGTTGAAGCCGATACCCCGGCTTCTTTAATGACATGGCTGAATGAGATCCTTGGCTTAATTAATTAGCTATTAAATGCCAAATGAGCCAGATGCCCTTAAAGGCCTCCTTTGTACCTCTGTAAAGGTTTTTATGGTCAAGGATACTTTACATCCCTTCATCATGAGACCTGTGTTACTACACTGACTTTGTATCCCAGGACTCTCGGTAAGGAAGAGGTGTAGCTTTATAAAAGCATGAAAACACGAGTGTGTGCAGAGAAATTCTGTAAGGCTTGACTGAACAGTCCTGTGTGAGTTTTTTTAGTGCTTTCAACTTCTACTGAAACATAATTTGCAATCAGAATGTTTTATACCCTCCCAATGTGGAATTAGAAGGTGCTAATCTGCTGTGCTTTCCTCTATAACACTTGTTTCATCACTGGGGGAGGGGTGAAAGGTGAAGACAAGATGTTATTTTTCCCAAAACACACACTTATTTTTTGTTTCTTGCCAGCAGCAAAGTTGGTTATGACAGAAACAGCAATGGAGCTCTCACCAAAGGCACTGCAGGTTCACAAGTGCATAACAAATCGAGGAGACCCTGGCGAGGCTCAGCCCCACTGGGAGTGTTCCACTCACTACTTATTCCCTGACCTTAACAAGGTCCTGAGCCTGAGCCAGAACCATAAACCTGAGCCATAAACAGGCACTGTGACCACTCAGCCTACCAGTTTCAAAATTCCAATTTAACCATAACAATTGATTGAACTCAAAACAGTCCCTGCCACAACTGGGTTTCACTGATGTTGATAAATCAGAGAGAGGACAGGCACCGTTCAGAGTTCATACACTGTGCAGGGTCCAGAGGTTTTACAACTATTCAATAGTCAAAGATAAGGAAAGAAACAAGACACTTTATCCAGCTGACAGGATTGAAGAAAATTAGAAGGCCTGACTAGATACAGCTTAGGTTCACTTAGGCTACAGCACAGATTTTTCACATTGTGGAGAGTATTGATTGATACTGTGTTGATCTGTATGAAAACATTGTGGTTTCGGATGGTATCCGTTCAGCTTGGTATAGGATCCTCTTTCAGATATGTTTATCTCAAAGATAAATGTAGAAACCACATTGTCCAAACCTTTCTGTGGAATGCAAATGAAACGGAAGGGAAATTCTAAATTCTGATGATTTAAAACTGAATAAGGAGTATGCTTCTAAGGTGCCTGAATCTTTGCACTTTGAAAGCATGTTATCAAAGACAATACATTAGCTGGACAAGACAGATTTCATAATCTCAGGTGATATGTAAAAAGGCCTTTTCTGATCCATTACATTGTGAGCAGATTCAGCACAATTAACTCTAATTTAAGGCAGAATTCAATGTCCATACACTAGATCCCTAAACAGGTCTTGAGTAATTCTTCCAATTCAGGGTCGTGGGAGAGCTGGAGCCTATTTCAGCAGGCATAGGGCGCAAGGCAGTATTCTCCCTGGAAGGGATACCAGCCCATTGCAGGGCACACACAGACACAAACACATTAAGGCCAGTTTTCCCAAAAGCCAGTTAATCTAACAGTATGTCTCTGGACTGTTGGAGGAAACTAGAGCACCTGGCAAAAACCTATGTGAACAAGGGAAGAATATACAAACTCCACACAGACAGCACTCCAGGTATGAATCTGAACCCTGGGCCCTGGCACTGCAAGGCAGCAATGCTAACAGCTGCTGCAGCTTACAAAGAAACACTAAAAGTGTGACTTCTAAGCATGAGAATAGACTGGCTAGAGCACTCATGGGTCAGGCTGTTATAAAAAAAATATTCCTGGGGATATAACCCCTTAACACAATCAGAAGATGATCACTACCTAGCATTTAAAATCTGTAGACAAGACTGTAAAACTTTCCAAGTCACTAGATTTCAATACAGGCTTCCGAACACTTCAACAATCTGCTTTCGCCCTCCCACAGCTAGGTCCCTGAAAGATGCCACATGTACAGTGAGCACAGTGAAAGCTGCCAGACTCCTGGAGCTAGACAGCCTTTCCTTTCTGAAGATAGGCTGTTCTTCAGTCGTCTACAATGCTATTCGATCAAATCACTATCGTCCATAACGTTAAAACAACCAACAGCACTTTAAAAAATCAAATTCACTGAGCATTACTAGCAGTAAACACAAACAACATCTCAGAAAGAAAAAAATAAAAAAAGTCCTAGGTATTCCGTTGGCGGTATCTCTAAACGGATATTACAATTGAAATAAAGTATATATTTAAATGGAAAACATAAACACCAAGCCAAAAACTTAAAAAACAACATAATCAACTTCACTGAAAACGTCACTGCCAAGCTCAATCACAGTTTTTAATAAGACATCCACGGCTATTGAGATAATGAGAAATCTCGTCGCTCACGACATAAATTCTATATTACATACCAATTCTGCCATTATTTCCTTTGTATACGCGGAGATTAGACATGTTCACTTCGAAAATCTGAATAATAACAGGTGGTAAAATATGTTGCACATTACATAAAAACTTGCTCTATTTACTCAGATCACGCAGGTGACTTTTCAACAGGTCTGTAACACGAAACGAGGCCACTCAGCACTCCACAATCTAGGTGTAACACGATGACATCACGAAACATGCCAACTGGAATCATGTAGTTGCACAATATAAAAATTGCGAAGGAATCGACACGTCTATCATGTGACTTCCTTTTCCAAACCCCTTAAAAAGCATTTTCTTCACACTTCACGCATAACCCCACAGTACGCGCAATTTCCTTTTTCGTTCTGCCGTGCGTAAGCAGGCACACTTTATTGTGTGGTATTACTACCCGAGGGTGGTAAACCGAGGTCGAAATTCAACCGAAAAAGTGAGATCCTACACGCAGCGAGAATACATCCAAGAAACCCTAAGCACAAGCAGCACTGGGCTACGTACTCACCGTTGGTAAAAGGCTGCCCCCCAGCACCATTCTGGGAGTTGTAACCAGTATTTGACATCTTGAAACTGACACAGGGATCAAATTCACAGCAGGCTGAATAGCGAATAAGTATGCCTGCTTCAAAATCGTAAATGACAACAGTCACTTGACAAAGAGCGGCTCTGTTTTAACGGAACACCTTGGCTACTGAATCCGAGTCGCGTAAGAATTAGAGGGACATGTCTGGGGCCGTTCCCAGCAGATCTGGGGGTGCAGGCCCAATCGAAAGTAATCGTTGAAAATCCTCCTTTTCTCGCACAGGAAGTCAGGAAGGCAGGATCAGTGCAGAAACCTCCCTTGCACATGCGCATTGGGTACACGTGGCATTTCCTGTGTAAGAGCCTTTGGAGATGTACTAGAAACAACAGAGCAATCTGCACTGCTGTGTGTTCAGCTGGAATTAAATCTTTACCTGTGTCGTTTTATTTCTTTTGAGTGATATTTACTTTTGAAGTTTTTTACAGTCACGGTTACTATGCATACCAATCATGCAATTTGTGAATAAATACCCCAAAGAGATCAGAAAAAAATATATACCAGAAATAGTTAAGGTGTCAGTTTGCGACTCAAAACCAAAATCAAAGGCTGAAGTCTGTGCCAAATCGAGGATGGCTTTTTATTCATTATAATATACCATTATAAATTTGATTTTTTCATTTGTGGATTATTTTAACATTTAAATTAATTTAAATGCATTCTTCTAGTATTTTTGACAAGTAGAGTAGTAGATGGGAGCACCACGATAAAAGGTCAACATAACTGTTATTTATGTCGTGTGAAAATTTTTCTTCCATTTTTTGTTTTCTACGAATTTATAAAACAATAATCGTACTCCAGTCAACAAATGCGGAGAACTACAATCTGGAAAATTACGAAACTGAACTGCAAATTAAAAATAAATGACAAAAAGGCCAATATTTAGACGGGACATACGTTCGGAGCTGACAATTTAATACTTAAAAAAACTTGAAAACAAATATACATTATATATATATAATTGAACTTTGAGTCTTTTGTCCAGTATTACGGTATCATTAGGCAGTGCCTCTTAAAACAGGGAGTGTTGCTGTTGCCCGCCGGGACGAATTAGTGTGTAACACATGGAGGAAGCGGCTGTGTCAAGGGCTGGGAGCTGATAGTCGGCCATTGCTGTGTGTCGTGGCTCGGTAACAAAACACGGAGACGGGGAGAGGAGAGATACGGGCACACAGGGGGGACGGAGACGTATTTCTCTTCACGAGTAGAGCAAAAGCATTTAATTCTTTATCGTACCGGTTACAGGTAGGTTTTCGAGTCGTTATTCTTTTTACCAGCGAAAGCGTTATTGAGATATCTTGGCCAATAGGACTGTACGGTAAGCCTCCAGATCAATAGGTTTGCTGGGCTTGTGTAATCAGAGTGAATTTAATTGACAGTTAATGTTAAGGATCTATGTGTGTCGGGTAGCCTTGTTTTCTGAGTACCACGGTGTGTAGGGGGATATTCTGCGTTTTTTCGTGAAAGGGGAGATTTGCGTGATGTCAGTTTAGCCGGGACACGTAGACTCAGGTGTGCTGTGCTGGCTTTGGTGGTACCGAGTGATGTCCGGTACCCGTATTTCTTGGCTGAAAACACGGATTTCCGTTTCACCGCTAAACGTTGGTCTGATCTCCTGTTTTCAATAATTTAATATACTCAGTGAAAGTGGTGATCAGTCTTTTTGGGTATGGGAGGCGTCATAATTTTTCTTGCATGGTTATAGTATCTTATATTCTGTATACGGAAAGCTTAGGCTGTGCTACGAGAATGGTGACGGGGCTTTCTGACATTTCGTTTACCCTCTAGCTCTATTTATAATTGACGCGTGAAAAGCGACCGGCTTTCTCGTTATAAACTGATTAAGTTGACCACGCTCTATTTTAAATGGCTTGTGAAGGCTTTTAATATTCTCCAAGCGTTCTTACTTTCTGTAGTAACGAGTTCTTCTCCCGTTTGCCGGTGAGCGAGGAACCGACTGAACTCCGTCGCTTCAAATTAGGAGGAGCAAATACATTTTCTGTCCGCGTTTAGAAGACAGGGATAATAGACGCCTTTCTTTTTAATTCTCAGCTCTTCCCGGTAATGCGAATCAAACGGTCGACTCTAATCAACACTAGTTGTTCTGAGAGATTAGTTGAGGATCCAGCGAATAAGCCGGAATTAATTACTGCCACACCATACTGTATAGAGTGGATTCAAGTACTCATAATTGTTGTTTCATGCGATTGTCTCATTTTCCTTTAATCGTGAAGTGTTATTCCTTGATGGCTAGAGTTCTTGAGTTGGGGCCCTAAAAGCTCATGGAAAAAGTAAGAAAATGATTGTTCTTTAATGAATTGTAGATAAAACGGCAGTTGTAATTGCTCTGTCAACACGGTGCTTTCTGTAAAAAGTCAATTTTCCAGACGACGCTAAAAACTGCGTGTAGAAATTAAGTTTTAGCCAATGCTTTGTAGGAATAATGTGATGTGCCTTTCTCAAATGTGTTAATTCCTTGAGCCAAACAGACTTGAGAGATGATATCTTCCTGAGTGTTTGCAGAGTACACATTCCTTCCTACTACATTGTGATGTCATGGTAGTAGAGGCAAGTAAGCACAGTGGTATTTGAGAATAATAAATATTTGAACTATGTTTAACTCGGCATTGGTATTTCCTCATTCTCTCATTGGTTTGAGTAATGGAGTGTAATTGAGTATTTGAGCTTCAGTGCCAAACAAGCATTATCCTATTCAGCCTATATTGCTGCTGATTGGGTGTTGTAATGTGTGAATGTGAGTGCGTTTATTTATGGACGGTCTGTGTGCAAAGTGAAATCTGAAATTTGCAGTGTTTTGAACCTGTCCAATTCAAACATGCATGTTTAGTTTTGTAATGAGATAATATTAATTTGTCATATTATCTCATTACATAAATGTTAATGTACAATAGATGGGATTTTCATCTGCCTTGCAGAGCTGTGAAAAACCAAAAGTACATTCCCACACTTCTACTAGTATATCATCAGGGGTCTTTGGGCCTAGGAGGTTTTGTGTCTCATTTTAATGAACAGCTCTTCACCTGGAACAAGCTTAGATTCATCCAGTTAACATTTAGTGCACCAACCCATCCCTTTTCCACAGCTTGAAACTGTTGACAGTGTAAGGAGACAGAAACCTGTATGCATGCTGGACACTGACATCCAGGATTGAGATCCCCTGCTTTATGGGGTTGTGAGGGTCAATAAAAAGCAATCTGCCACACATATCATTTGTGCAGATGGTTGTGGCTTTGCTGAAACATTAACCATACTAGACAATTTACATAAAAGTCAAAGTCCCTACAGATGTTTTCTTGAATTCTCATGTTGTCAGCACAAAGATGTTACTGTGCACCCAACTGTTGAGAAAGACGTGGTCCATATGTATTGTTCTCTGCTGCTCATCCTTCACCACAAGTTTGGCACTGTTTGTTTTCTCCTTCCTTGCCGATGGTTTTGTTGTATATACAGTAAGAGGTACAAAATGAGTAATCTTTCATTTCATGCAACGGGTCTATTTTCTAACTGCCTCATCCAATGCAAAGGTGCAAGGTGGAGTCTATCCTGTAATCAGTAATGGGTGCAAGCAAATTTTTCCATAAGCCGACATACCAGTATATCTTTCGATTGTGGAAGGATACTAGAGGACCCGGAGGAACGTGAACATGGGGAGAACATACAAACTCCACACGATTAGCACCCCAGGTCTAGCAGTGAACTCGGCTATGCAGCAATGCTAACCACTGTGCTGCCCATAATTGGCAATTAATACACCTTAAATGGTTAATAGTTTCATTGGGTGTCTTGAATTGGGGGTCAAGCACAGGTCTGTAGATTTTATTTAGTGCCAGATAATATAAAAACAGTGCTGGGATAATGACAGCCTGGCTTCACTACATATCACTGCTTAATGAATGTTTGCATGTGATGAGGGTCCATTTTTAACATGTAGAGTAGAGTATCCAGTTGAGTTGATAGTCTTTGGTTTCTCCAATAAAAAGCTTTAAAAGTAAAAATACTGAATGTTAAATTAAGTCTAGGAAACATACTACGCTGATATGTTAACCTCATAAAAATAAATGTAGTTGCCTTCCATATATAAATGTATACCCAGCTGTTGAGAGAAAGCATTCTGAAATGATCAGTTATTTTCAGTGTGACCACTGAAAGTCCCTCTTATGGGTTAAGATAAGATGTGGGTTAAGTTTGCATCTAATGTTTTTAGATGTCTCTCAAGGTATATTTAACAAGTCTGGCTTTAATTTATATGAAAATTATGTTTAAATTCGAAGTGATTTTATAATGGCAAAGAAGTTCTTTAATGGAGCAAGTAATAGGTTTATTCCATGCTGAAAAGAGAAGAGAGAAAACACAGCGTTTGGGCTGTGGAGCCTTCGGGTGTAAGCCAGCTGCCAGCCTGAAGTTCTTTAATTATTTGTGGAGGATTCATGTTGATTTTATCAAGTTTTTAAAGTTATCCTTGGGATTGTTGATGGTGCTGAATGTCATGGTGAAAATCTTAAATGGTTTGGAAAAGTGATTCTGATCGTTTTTGTACTCACGACTATCTTGTTGTTGCTTTAGCACACTCTTCAGTACATGCTGAATTCTAATAGGCTATTTAAGTCTGTGCAACCTGATGCACTAAATCACGTCATGGCAGTTGACCCTATGCATTTGCTTCTGGATTGTATCATTTACTCTTGTGAGTAGGAGAATCCTACTCTTGTAGTGTGCTAGAGTTGAAAATAGTTGCTGACGTGTAGTTTTTGTGGTATTTGCATGTTCTTGACCTTTGCTTTCAGTATACATTGCTCCGGAATCATCTGGATGTTGTGTAACTCGAACTATAGGTCAGCTTATCAGATTCTGTTACAAAGTGAATCTGGAGAAAGGATTATGGTAAGAAATTTGCTTCTGATCTCAAACATTTGGCAGGCCTTTTCTAGCCTATTTAGTATCTCTAATTGAAACGGTTTACTGACAGCTTTTGGATTCTGTGTACAGGAATTAAATGATTCAAGAGCAATATTGGATAAATATGCTATAAATCTTTATTTAAAATAATTTAAAATATGCATAAACTATGATAACATACCTTTATTAGTGTTATAGATGTATTTCTAGGCAAACACTGGGACAAATTCATAATAGAAGATTATGAATTGACCTCCTGGCAGGTTGTTTTTAAAATACTTAAGGAGCTGAGGAAGAAGAAAACATCTGTGATGATCAGTGATTATTGCTTTGATTGATAATTTAGTCAAATTATCATTGATTACTGCATATTAACAATAAGCATGCTAGATTTTTTTGTAAGTGGAGTGAAAATTACACTCCACCCCAGCTAGCTCTCCATGTTCTGTTGCATTGTTTTAAGCTTTTTTTGTAAATCTTTTTTTGGGCTAAAGAGATCATGATCCCTGAGTTAATGTTTATTAACTTGAATAAATATGTGGAGTAGTTCACAATAAATCAGATGTGGAGTGTAATGGCAATTAAGTTTACTGGAGGTGATCTTGTGCTAAATCTGTACAGTATATAAGGCCATACAGTGATTTCTAATTTTGTCCATAGTGTAGAATGTTTATACATTCATAATCAGGATTTTCATTGTCTAAGGTATTTGTTTAAGTGTTCCATGAAAATCAGGGAACTGTACCTAAAAAAACTGCACCTGTGGCAACTATAATACTGTTTTCCAGTGCATTCAGATGAGGCTGCACAGGTAAGGGTTAGAGGCTGGGTGGTGCGGTGGCTCTGTGGTTAAGGATCTGTGCCTGTGGCTGGAAGGTTGCCAGTTCGTATCCTGCGGCCGGCAGAGGAATCCCTCTTTGTTGGGTCCCTGAGCAAGGCCCTTAACCCCAAATGGCTGACGCTGTGTTCTGACACCCAGATTCTCTTCATGTCTGTGTGTCTCATGGAGAGCAAGTTGGGGTATGCGAAAAGAAGAATTCGTAATACAAGAAATTGTATATGGCCAATAAAGTGATCTTATATTTTAAGATTTGTCCTACCTTCCATAACATCGACAGCTTATTTAACTTAAATTGCCTTAAATAATATTCCTATTTGCCTATATCTGTAATGTACTGGTAAGCATTGAGGTTGCTGTATGGCCTCTCATTCTATAGTCAGAGACTGCAAATCCAGGAGGAGTTTTTGATTTTCTTTTTTTTTAATTTATATTACAGGATTCACACATCCGGATATGTCCTTCATATTTGATTGGATTTACAGTGGTTTCAGTAGTGTACTGCAGTTTCTAGGTAAGTGGCTAGTAAAGATATTCAGTTTAAGGTAATGTGATAGTCTGTACCCTAAAGCAAATATAGACTCAGAGGTGGGTAGAAGGTAGAAGAACTCCTGTAGGACTCCAAATGTATGATGATGACTGCTTCGTATTTTGATTTTATTCAAGGAACTGTCTTGATTATCATACTATGTTAGAAATCATGACAGTTCTGAACTGTTTTGAAAGCGTCTTATAAATATCTTAGTCAGTGATCTGTAATGATGCTTGGTGTCTTGGAGAGGAAGTTGATGAAACCTGACCTGCACTACAGCTGAGGTGTGAGGTGCATCACACGGGCAACTCGCCCTTCCCTGCGGATCATGAGCCAAGTTTAGTTGCTTGGCTGCTGGGAGTCTTCTTCCCAGCAGTACAAGCAGCTATTCTTTCAGCTCTGTGACTCACTATGCTCTCCAACATCTATAATATTTCTGATATTTATCATTCTAGAAATCCTGAGATACACGCGTGCTGTATAAAGTTTATTTCTAAACATTCACATCTGCATTTTGTCACTAAGCTTCTTGAATTATTTAAGGTAATTATTGAGAAACTATGGCTCTTGAGTTTAATTAAGCAAAGGTTGATCTAAGACATCTCCCTTTGGGATTTGAGCTTTGTCTGGGAAAGATGGGAGAAGCGATATAGGTACTCGTGATGTAATTAATGGGGTACAGTGTACTTTCAACAAAATCAACTTGAATACATTGTGCATGTGGAGAGTCCTTGCTTACTGAAGTGTAAGACCAGGTGCACATAAAGTATTATATAAAATAGCCTTTAAATTTAATTTAGTTGTTTTTTATGAAGAGAAGATTTTCTGCCTTTTTAAAATAATTGGTATGCTAATTATTTTTTGCTGCATTTCAGGACTGTACAAGAAGTCTGGCAAATTAGTATTTCTTGGATTGGACAATGCTGGCAAAACAACGCTACTGCACATGCTCAAAGATGACAGATTGGGACAGCATGTGCCAACTTTACATCCAAGTGAGTTGATCTTTTTTTTTCCTTTTTGAAAATGCGCTGTCTGCAATGAAAATCGTTGAGCTTGGATAAAATAAGTTTCTGTGAATGCATTGACAAGATAAAATTTACTTGTGCCTATTTTGAGGTGTTTTACCAGTACAATATAGTTGTCATTTAGGTTATTTTCCATCCTAATGGTAATGAATTGAAGCTATGACAATTGAAACACTTAATCACTGCTACATATGTGATGTTCGTAGGACTGTTCATGTTGCAGTCAGAAATTGTGTAATGTGAACTGATTGTGCATTCCCAGTCACTTGTCTTTTTTCATTTTCTTTATTGTTGAGGAGCAGAGGTCCACTGTCCTGTTACTACACACATGCCTCCTGCTGTATGTTTGCTTAGAACCAATTTGATTATGCACTTCTTGCATGATTACTCCAGTAAAGAAAAAAACATGAGAATTCAATTTAAGAGTGGTTTATTTTAACTTGATTGTGAATTCCCAATGTACATTTGGAAAGCATATTTTTTTATTTCCTTCTGATTGTTAGCTTCAAAGTCATGTGAGAATCAGTCACTCACTTTGTGAACTGCCTGAGTAATCCAGCCATCCATTTTCTAACCACTTCATCTAATTCAGGGTCGCAGGGGAGTTGGTTCCAATTTGGGCAAGCAACAGGCACAAGGCAGGATACACCCTGGAAGGGACGCCAGTCCATCGCAGGCCAGACATACAGACACTCACACCAGGGCCACTTTTGCCCAGAAGCCAAAGAACATACCAGCATGTCTTTGGACTGTGGGAGGAAACTAGGGCACAGTAAAAAGCACAGCACAGCAAAAGCCCATGTGAACATGGGGAGAAAATACTAACTCCACACAAATAGAACCCAGGAAATTGAACCCAGGGCCCCAGTGCTGGGAGGCAGCCATGCAAATCACTGTCTCATCATGCCACCCTGCCTGACTACTGTTGTTCTTCATTTTTTGAACAGATAATTTACCCTAATATGTTTCAATGTCTGTTTTATTTGCTAACTAGCCTCTGAAGAGCTGACCATTGCTGGTATGACCTTCACCACCTTTGATTTGGGTGGCCACGCACAAGGTACTTAATGTACAAACAAAATTGATACCTACACTACAAAACTTTTGCACATCTCTGTGCTGCTATTATTGTTTGTTAATCCAGGCACTAACAGTTTTTACCTCTTCAGCTCGTCGAGTATGGAAAAACTACCTCCCTGCCATCAATGGTATTGTCTTCCTAGTGGACTGTGCAGACTACCCAAGACTGGCCGAGTCCAAAGTAGAACTTGATGTAAGTGCCTCATTAGAAATAATATTAAAAAATATTTTTTATATAATTTCAGCACCCTTGAATGATTTTACAAGCAGAGACATGTGTAGAACAGTCAAAACTATAAACTCCAGCAGCTATGTCACCCTGCAACTCAGAACAGGCAACCCACTGAAGCTAAGCAGGTGTAAAACCTAATGACATGCTTAGCGCTCGTTATATGTGGTTAGGTATAATTTGTTGTAATTACATGCTTTCATGTGGTGTGTAAAAGTTAATTAAGTCATTTCATTGGCAGGTGAATATTCTGTATTAACAGAGTGGTTAACCTCCAAATTTTACTTTACTGTATACTGAGAGGCATTAAAACGCAAGCAATACTAGTGGTCCTATATTCATTTGTTGTGTTTTTAACATTTCTAAGTATGTTATACTGTATAATTGCCATATTTGAATGCACATGTATATTACAGCAAGGATTAAAATTTCATGCCAGTTTCAAGTGGATTCACAATGCCTGGCCTAAAGCTTCAAGTTGTGTATAATTAGTATGATCATACAAGTGGCTTCTGGCACATCTTTATATCTGTCCACCAGAACTGTGGAGGTGGGGATTATCTTTCTTTAGTTTATTTTTACTGGTAGTTGTGATGAACCTTACTTTTAATCTTATTCTATTCATGTAAATGTTTTTTTTAGATTTGTAGGTGATTGGTGACTGAACTAAGGTTCAAACACATAGCACTGCAGAGGAGGTTTGAGCTGCTATAGTACACTGTGGTTAAGGCAGTAGAGCACTAATGTTGGAGTATTTTTATAAGTGTTTTCAAGCTGAACTCTGTTTGTTTTCAGGCATTAATGACAGATGAAACCATTGGAAATGTGCCTATCTTGATCCTTGGTAACAAGATTGACAGACCAGAAGCCATCAGTGAAGAGAAGTTACGAGAACTGTTTGGGTTATATGGACAGACAACAGGCAAGGTAATGAGAGCACATTTCTCACTCAGACCTGGTCATGTGTTTTTCTGTACTTTTACAATAAATGTATTTGTACTTTTTTTCAGAATTAAAGTAGCAACATAACACATTTAGGGCATAGCAATATTTCAGATGAACATGATCATCCATCCATTTTCTGACCGCTTCTTCCAGTTCATGGTTGTGGGGAAGCTGGAGCGTGTACAGCAAACAATGGGCACAAAGCAGGGTGCACCCTGTTCAGAGCACCAGTCCATTGCAAGGCTGACACACACTCACACACATCAGTGCCAATTATCATTGAAGCTACTTACCTACCAGCATGTCTTTGGACTGTCAGATGAAACCAGAGCACCCAGAGAAACCCATGCAAACAGAGGGAGAGGATAAAAACTCCACACAGATAGCACCTCAGGTCCAGAATTGAACCCAGGGCCCCAAAACTGTGAGGCAGCAAAACTAACTAGCGCCATCATGCAGCCCGAACGTTATCATGAAAATAGATTTATGGATCTCATTTCCCATTCCGAATGTGTATCCTTTTATTTTTAAGCTGTGCTTGATATTTTCTAAGCTATGCTTGATATGGGTGCTTGATATGTTTCTTAGCTGCACCTATTAGGATGTTTAATACTTTTATGCAGAAATAGAAGCACAGCTATCTAGGTAATGCTCATTACCATTTTGTGCCCAATCTAATTTTAGGATTTTTCCATTTTTTAGGGCAACGTTCCATTGAAGGAGCTGAATACGAGACCACTAGAAGTGTTTATGTGCAGTGTGCTGAAGAGACAGGGTTACGGCGAGGGGTTCCGCTGGCTGGCCCAATACATCGACTGAGCCAGTGTTCAGGAGCCTTGGGAGGAATCCCAGTTCACCACATTTGATCCCATGTCTGGTTATAAAGTTTGCCTCTGCTGTTGAAACATGTACAACACGAACCCAATAGACTTTTATTGGTTGAACATTTGGTTATAAAATTGACATTTTTCTAGAAGAATAATATAGCATCAACCGTGCTAAACATTTTAAGTCCGAGCCGTTGAAAAAAAGAGAATACCTGTTTTTTTCTGAGCAGTTTGTATGCGTGAACGTCGAAACATGTTAACTCTGTAATCCCACTGGATGACTCTTTTTAAACAGCCTTTCTTGGCATCAGTTCCCAAAACCATACAAACGAGTGAAAGAGAAACGTGGTAGTTGTATGCAGCTGAATGCACTTTTTTTAACAGGAGAGATGACAGACATGCGACTAGTATTTAATGTTCAATTTTTATGTTGTTTTTTTTTTGGAGCTATTTGGTTTCAATAAACCTAGAATATGTAACCACGTATACATCTGTTACTTTGAAAAAATTATTTCTGTTAGATTTTCTAGCTGCATGATGCCTTAAGTCAGACCATATCTGCCCCTGCCCATTTGATGTAATTAAAACCAATCAAAAAGTTATTTTGTTATTCTTCTTTGAATATGAAGATACAATAAACTATTTGGCATTTAGGATACAGGTTTGCTTTAAAGTAACCACTGTTTTCTGCTTACACATTCCAATGTGAGTGCCAGGTTTTATGTTTGCCTGAAGTGAACAGGCATCCTTGGTGTCTTGACAGGAGTCTAAAGATTGCACAACTTTAATGAGGGTAAGCTCTGTCACTTGTTAAAGTGAATACTGATCTGCCACAAACCAATTCATTTCATGGAATATTAATGTTAGGAGTGTGAATGGAGTTTTTTAAAGGTAACTTGGTTTTTAATGCATTAGCTGTCAAACTGGTTAATTGCTTATATATGGTTGTAATATTTTACTACACCCTGAAAAGGTTTTGCCTGTTGGTGTACCAGTAGATGGCACCCTTCCTCCTGGACCACAGTTCCCAAAGCTAATGCCCCATTGTGGTGACCAAGGAGGTTGTGATTTGGGATGTGTTGTACTACAGATGACATGTTAAATCAAAATCCTTTGAACGTAGTCATTAAAGATCACATGTCTCTTTTCGATAGAGTTGTTGTATTAACTCCTATACCTGGGATACGTTCCGCTCTAGATATGCATAGTAGCTTTCCTGAAGTTCACCTTTAATATATTTGGTGAAGCAAGTTCTCCCCTCATTACCTGCACAGATGTGTCATGAGGCTGGTGTCGCATCATAGCTGCTGGGTGTTACCCAGGTTGGTTCTGCACTTCAGTGGTGAATGTTGCGAGTCTCCTGCTACATATGTAAAGGTCTTTTATATCCTTCATGATGGAAAAACCACATAAAAGCGTGGAATACTGCCATGCTATACCTTCTTTTTTAAAACAACATTACTAAGATGTTGTCCTTTGAATAGAATGGTTCTGCAAATTCAGGCCAGGTTACAGGCCACTGCTAAATTTAAGTAGTTCCTTGGTCATGTAGAGAACAGACAAATGTGGTATTACTTAAACAAGAAAGTATGACAATGGAATTAAATGTGTTAAAACTTCCAATTTTGCCGAGTGGAGCACCCGTTAGTCATTGGTGTTGTTTCCGTTTCTGTGTAACACATAATGCATGCATTTTATGTTAAGAAAACTGGCACCTTAAAAAAAAAAAATACAAAAAGGGGGATTGACTATATAAAACAAACCAAAGGCTCAAATTATAATTAAAACAGAAATGTTGTTGGGGTAGTTTGGAAACATCTCTAAACTAAAAACAATTCTTGTCTGTTTCACGAGTACTTTTCATTTAGAAAAACGTCTTCATGTCAGATTGTGCTAAATCTTTGCAATTAATAAATTGCCTTTCTTTGGTGGACAGCTGGTGCTTGATTATTCTGGTGGCTTTAATGACAAGTAGGTGGAACAGCACCGAGCTCCAGTACAGTATGGATGTTACAAAGGGCATAAAACCTTTTTTGAAGAACATATTTCCCCCTTTTTAAACGTTACAGGGGTTAAAACTGTGTCGTTGGGATGCTCTTCTGTCATGAACCTCTGTGTTCCAGGCATAACCATTATGAAGTAACGTATCGTTTCCTTTGTGTGGCGGCCTTGTACCGCATTTTTCCCCCAGCAGGTGGAAGCCGTTTATTTGGGTATATTTGTACGTTGGCAACGTTTACCGTGTCTCTTGCGGGAGTTCTGCCTCTTGTGCAGGTGTTTGATAGAAGCTATTGACTCACAAATCCAAACCACGGCGGAAGTTTTCAAACTTTGCTCAGATTCTAAGCGAGTCGGGTACTGCGCGTACCCTTTCAGTAACATGTCAATAAAAGAGATCAATTATTTTCTCTCTTTATATGATATTATCTATTGGAGTGACAGAATTACCTCATACACGGTTAAACTATTTGCACAACCGACTATAACATTTAATAAAATAATTATTTAATTTAGTGGGATTTAAGTCATATCAGTGCATAACAATGCAGTCTTGGTTTACATACGTGATGCACAATTTTTCTCCGAAAGCACAAAGAGATTTACTGAAGTTCTTGGTTCCTTGAAAAGGACCTAAGCACAGCGGGTTTTCCTGTGGCAATTCCTCGCTCATGTAACAGAGGTGTGATTTCTATTCTAAGATCTGTAAACAAGTAGCGGTTAAAAAGAGCTTACCTAAATTATAACTCGTAGAATTCTGCACCATGAACATGCAATTAGTTGGATAACCTCCATCTTAGTGGAGAAAAACCGTATTTTTCAATTGCTTTTTATGGGAACTGCATTATTTCTTTCGTGAAAACCCTTTCCTAAATACACTTCGATCGCCTAACCTAATATATTTCCAATTACCATCACTACGTGTTTCACGAGTTAGCGAAAAGAGCAATTATTCCTTATTCGTCCGCTATTAACAAAAATATAAAAAATTATATGGTTAATTATTCAAAGGTAAACTTTTATTAACAAACAGTATCTGACTATAATATTCTAAACATTTGGAAATAATAAGTAAATAAGTACTATTATAAATGTAACACAAAATCTGATTGTTACATATTGCATAATCAAAATAGCTTTTGAAAAGAAATATTGCCTTACTAGTTTAGCTACATCTTTTTTAACATTTCACCAATGAAAGAAATGTGCATTTACAAAAACATAACATTTTAGTTTAAATATTTTATTATTTGAACTGTAAATATTTTTTTCAATTGATGTTTTCGGAATTTGGTTAGATAATGTGATATATCTTCTGTTGTCTATTATTTGAATGAAAATTAACAGGTGTGTGCTTTGCGAAACTGATGGCATTTCTTTTCGATTCCTGTGACTGCGAACGGGATTGAAGTGGAAGTTTTGGAGTTAGTGTGCGAGACGATACCTATATGACTTTTGGATCCAATAAAAAAAATGAAAAATCGTCAACAGGTTCAAACGGCGCTCGAAATAACGTAAAAATATCATTTTACCGATCTGTTTTTAGCCATTTCGAAACACAATTTTAACTGTTATACAGGACCGTTGTGCATTGCACTAACATGTTTTTCCTGGCGGGTCCGATAGAGGGCAGTACGAACACAGTTTTAAGAAAACTCTTTTGGACTACATAATCAGTAAAGTGAGGTAACAGAGATTCAGCTCTGATGGAAAAAATAACATTTGCACACCAAATACAAAGAACTGTTCCATTGTGAAAATTTAATTCACCAAAATTTAAATAAATGGATTTATTCTGTCAGATGTTTATAATTCGGTACACTGCTGTTTGCAGGGGAAATAATCCTTGAATTAACCAATCACTAATGATTGTCCATATAATTATATATAATATACAATTGAATGCTAACAACCTATTGGATACCCTTTATGAAGACACCAGGGAATGATTTATGTTTATTCTGTTAGTACAAAAAAAACGAATAGTTGTTGTCTGAATATTTTAATTCCTGGGAGTCTTGTTGAATGACCCTACTTCTCCACTAAACTTCGGTCTTCCATCTCAGCAAATCAAACATACAGACCCCTAATGCCATTGTAGTAGAGGTGATTACTATTGCAAAAGCCAGCAGTCCCAAAGATTCCACAGCAGTTTCTTAATGCAGTGCAGTACTGGAAACATATCGAGGCATCTTCTTTTTTCTGGGTCCGAAAGCCCTCTGGTGTTTTGTATCAGGTACACACATTGACAGAGGCACTTACAGAGGGCACTGGTGACCTTTCTTCCTGTGAGTTTCTCTGCTGAAATAGCTGTGGCCTGGATGTTTGCAATCTGTCTCTGTCCCCTGGAAGAGTACTGTCCTGCTTGCAAGGTGAATGATGTGGTACTTCAAACAGCTTCAGTCTGCAGGTGTTCTGGTTTTCTGGTATCTCCACAAAAACCTCTCCTTCCATCCTGGGTCTTTTTGACGAAATTATCTGGTGTGCACTATTTACTGGCGTTTTATATATTTGTCATTTTTGTTTTATTTTTAAAAGCAGAAAGTCCTGGTTTTTGTGAATTCCAGGTGAGTGACTCTGTAGCAGCAGATCTATGAAAAATGGAGAGCAAGAGAACAGGCAAATTAAAATATTGAAATCAGCACAGCTACCTGGCTGATTTCAGAATCTGAAATCTGAAACATCAAAATCTAAATGTAAAAAAGGTACATCGCCGCTTCCGCCTCAGGTCGGCCCCCCACCGCTAGGGACTCGAACCCGGGCGTTACAATATTTACAAAGCAACTTTTGATTCCATGATTAATAACTCGTGATTTTATACATGACTGCATATGAAATATACTTGCATGCACCTGTCCTTACAATATGTGCAGGTGGTGCTGCAGGTGGTGGTGGAGGTGAGTTCACATTACCTGTAAAACACTTGAGTGGAGTGTCCAGAAAAGCCCTATATAAGTGTAAGCAATTATTATAATTATTATTAATTATATGTATTTGAAGATAAGTGGCTACCCAATAAACAACATTTCAGATTTTTGCCCTATTTTGGTACTTTAGTATTAGAATCAGTACAAATTCCTTGTCTTGAATAATATTGCAATTAATTATTAAATTAAAATACAATTATTCTGTCTTTTTGTGTAATGAATGTGATGACAATTTTCTCCAAGGAATGATTTTTTTTCCTTTAGTGAGACTTCTCTAACTCTAAGTCCACTGTATTTCTTATTTCTTCAGTACAAGCTTGTCTCCTTGTTCAGAGTTCTTGATTTCTCTTCTAAAGGAGTTTGTAACAGACTTTCAGGAGGGATAACAGCAGCCAATCAGTTCAATCAGACTTGGCTGGCAGGATTTTGCAATCACTCCTGATGCCATTTCCTCTCCCAGAACATTATCAACACTGTATGTGATCCCCTTCTCTGCCACCCACATCTTTTTCATCCCACCTCCACCCCATCACCACCTCCACACCTACCCTTGAGGATACCAGCCTTCTCCTCTGGCCAAGAGGTCAGCCCTCAGCCAAGCAGGTTAAACCAAATTTTCACAAAACACTCCATAATCCTTTCAGAACACTTTATTCTTGGGTGTTGTTATTCCTAGTAAATTCTAGTTGCAAATCATTTTAGAAAACCTGTTAAGAGGGGAAACATATTCTTG